TCTGCGCTTCAGTAATCCTCCTGCGTGCTCGCGGTGTCTCGCAGCATGTTCGGTCTTGATGGCCGATTGTTGTGAATTAGCTCAGTTAGTATAGTGTCTCATACTCGTGCGCTGCTGATGTTGTTGCTGCTCGCTGCTGTAGCTTGTTGGTGCTGAGACTTTATTTCTTGTGAATGATTTCCATTTTGTGTGCTCGAGTGGGGGTTTTGAATTACAACATGCATCGATCTTCGCTTACAATATTCAGCACTTTTAATTGAAATTGAATAGGGAGCACTGCCTCTCTTGAGTGGTATATAACGCATCATTAAAGGACCGAGGCCTGATCTTCTGTCCCATAAGTGGCACATCGTGGCGTGCTTGCTCGCCGCGAGCCGCGGCATAGAATTCTGCCAAGGTTGGTTATTCTGCCGGGAGCGAGAGTTAGCCGAAGTCATCCTTGAGTGGCCGTCTGTGCGAGACGTGCTAAGCGATCTGGTCGCGGAGCCACGCCGGTGCGTTGACTCAAGCCGACTTGTGCGCTGGTATGTAGGGGTGGGCAACGGGCTGGTATAGGGGAGCGACAGCAATACACTTTTCGCAATTGACACACGATGTGCCGGCACAGTGCAGTAGCAGAAATTAGGGGTCTGGCTTGTGAATGATTCGAGTCATCTAACGACACCGTTTTCCACATTCTCATGTCAAATATCGTCAGCTGGAGAGGCACGCCTGGCTGCGATGCCATCGATGACACAGAGTCTTGGATTGACGACGGTTCTCAGCAGTTGCAGAGACACCAGTGGGCGTTGCGCAGCTGCGTGCTGACACACTCATGATGTGCGGGAGCGGCTGCCCTGCGTCAGCTCCTGCCGCGCCAGCGCGGCGAAGGAGAAACCAGGGAAGCCACAATACGAAACTCCAACAGCCTTGTGATGCAGAATGCAGAATTTTTAATTTATGAGCGATAACGAGACTGGCGGTGCGCCGTAGTTGCCTCCTATCTGTAGATAGCAAGACACGATTCACTTGCGATGTTATCGTATCTGTGAGATGTGACGCACCTACCTAATTACGATGCTTCATAGAATATGGCATTTTCTGAGTACAGGGTGACTCAGCCCGTCAGTTCTTATAGCCCTTAGAAATCCAGGTTATTATGTTGCTGTTTGCATAGTAGCAGACGTCGTGGGGTGTTGTGCTACAGGTTAGACCGTTTTGCGATAATTGTAGCATATTACGTTCAGTCGACATCCGACAGAGCTCTTGTGTCATCCTGTTTGAAAAACCAAGCGATATATGAAGTTGACGCACTTATAGCATCTTACACTATGGATTATTACGACCCATAAACAGCTATGAGGTCTCTATAAATCTTCTGAAAGAGCTCAAAGCCTTTGCGGAGTCGCCAACCTCACATTGTACAGGGATATTGCTGCCAAGTCTCAGACCTATTATCCTTTTATGTATATATTGCTAGAACTGTGGCACTTTATGCAGCTTATCGTCTCCCGCCGTCGCGCGCCGATACCGAACGTGGCAGCGATTTGAAGGTTGTGTCCTTCTCACTCTTTCTCTCTCTCTTTCTGTACATGCACCTCGCTTTCCCCTTCTCTCTCTCTTTCTCTCTTTTTTTCTCTCTCGTTATATCCCTACTCCGTCTCGTTTTAGGGCTTGAGAAGGGGGCTATTTTCCACCGGCTGCGTGCGCTTGTTTTATTGTCAACGGTGTGGGATCGCTTAGAATCGTCAAGAGAATCGATCGTAATAAGTAGAGGGGGAGTGAATAATAAAGAGAGGTGGGGCAGGCGAGGGGAGCAGACTTAAATAGAGGAGAGAGCAAGAGAGAGAGAGAGAGAAGAGACCGAAGAGAGAGAGAGAGAGGCGGCGAGGGACGAAGAAGACAGAAGAGAGAGAGCGTAGAACAGCATAAAAAGAAGCTCATGAGAAAGAGGCGCTAGGAGAGAGCTGCGCCCAGAGAGCCCGCATCAGACAGAAAGAGAGCGGCAGATACGGAAGGAGAGAGAGAGAGAAGAGAGAGAGAGAGAGAGAGAGAGAGAGAGAGACGGAACCGAAGAGAGAAGAGAAAGAGCAAAGAGAGGCAAAGAGTGGGTAAGAGCATGGTGTAGGCATTTTATGAAAAAGCGAGGACAAAGAGAGTGAGGGAGTGAGGAGTGAAGGGAAGTGAGGGTGTGCTGTGTGTGTGTGTGTCGTAGTTGTTGTGTTGTGTGTGTGTGTGTAGTGTGGTGTATGTGTGTGTGTGTTGTGTGTGTGTGTGGGTGTGTGTGTGTGTGTGGTGTGTGTGTGTGTTCGTGTGTGTGTGTGTGTGTGTGTGTGTGGTGTGTGTGTGTTGTGTGTGTTGGGTCGTGTTTGTGTTTGTGTTGTGTGTGTGTGTAGTGTGATAGAGAGCATAGCAAAGAGTGATGAGTGAAGCGGAGAGAGAAGACGGGCCAATGAGAAATTTGAAGAAGAGAGAAGCGATCTAGCGAGAAATAGGAAGTGGGATTAGTGATGGAGAGACTAGCCGGGATGAGTAAGGGGTGAAACAACGAGAAAATCTTGTACAGGCTAAGAATGTGAACACGAAATAGAGACTATGCGATTAGTCAGAGCAGAGCAATGGGCGGAAAGAAAAGAACAGAGAAAGCAGACGATTTGAGAGAAAAAAGATTAGAGATAGGGAGAGAGAGGGAAGCGAGAGAGAAAGAGATAGATAGATAAGATAAGTAGAAAATAGACTAGCTTGATAGACCTAGATAGATTAGAGAGAGAGAGAGAGCAGAGAGAAAGAGAAAGAGCAGAGAAGAGAGAGAGAGAGCCAGAGAGAGAAGAGAGAAGAGGGAAGGGAGACAGCAGAAAGGGGACAGCATCACACACATGCACACACAAGTCGCTATGTTACACGCACAGCCACGCTTTCTCTCTGTCGGCGCGGCCTTCCTTCTTTTGCACTAGTCTCCTAGCTCTCTTGCCCTGTCTCCTACCTCGCGCTCTCGTAGCCTTGCTACTGCCAGAGCGTCAGCGGCCGCTCTCCTGCCTCCTATCTACAATCTCTTCTATCCTGCCCTAGCTTCTCCTTTCCAGCCTCTTTTCTCCGGTACCGCCCACCTTTCTCTGTCTAGCCCATTACTTCCTACCTTTTCTCTCTGGCCTCCTCCTTCCTGCCACAGCCTTTTCTACCCAGACTGCTCACCCCGGCTGTCTTGCACGTGTTCATCGTTAACACGCAGCCTCCGCATCAGAAGCCATGATCTCAGTATCTCTCTCATCGGACGGCCGTGTATATTTCTTCACCTGAGGGGCGGGCCAGGAGGTGTGTGCGTGCGTGTGTGTGTGTGTTAGTGTTAGTGTGTGTGTGTGTGTGTGTGTGTGTGTGTGTGTGTGTGTGTGTGTGTGTGTGTGTGTGTGTGTGTGTGTGTGTGTTCCCCCTGCCGCGCGTATATTAGTGTTAATTGCAGTAATTTATGTAACCCTAACCCTTTATTGCTCTCTCGACAGGTAATTGCCACCATCGCCCTCATCATATAACACCTGGTTTTCTGTGGCCTCTTATCCCTCTTTTCTCTCTCTCTCTCTATATGTATATATATTATATATATAAATATATATATATAACCTAAATACGCCAAACATGGCATCTCAGAGAGAAGCCTGGCTGGCCGAGATTCTGTCATCCGCTGCTATCTGATGGCGTGAAACACTAATAGTCATCAAATGAAAAACACGACAGGGAGCCACGTGGATGATGGATAGGATGGCGCAACGGACGCGAGCATGAGGGGGGAGAGGTGGTAGAGGCATATGACCGCAGTGGAGTGCATGCTAGGCTTAGTTGTGGAGAGCAGGGGTGGTTGTTGGTTGGTGGGAGGGGAAGAAGAGGATGGACGCCTAGTGCTTGTAGTTTGCCAATGGATACGTGGCTGTGGGACGTGCTTCGCGCCCGTGCACGTGTATAGCGTGTAACGACGTAATGTGGGACGGCTGAATCGCCAGCGCCAGCCACTTGAGGAGCTGCTGCATGCTCCCTACATACCACGTGTGTACGTCTGCCTCTCACTCTCTCGTGCACCCACGGTCTCTCGCTCTCTCTCTCTCTCTCTCTCTCTCTCTTGCCGTGCCCTTTCCGCGCGTGCTTCTGTGTTTATGTTTGTGTTTCTGTGCAGTGTTGGCGTCGGCATAGTGCTTGCGCCGGCGTAGTGTTTGCGTCGGCGTAGTGCTTGCGTCGGCGTAGTGCTTGCGTCGGCGTAGTGCTTGCGTCGGCGTAGTACTTGCGTCGGCGTAGTGTTTGCGTCGGCGTAGTGATTGCGTCGGCGACTCTGTGAGGAGGGACTACTGCGTCACTGCCGCCGCCGCCGCTGCGTCATGCTGCTGGAGAGAGAGCGCGTCGAGGTGCGTCGAACGCAACGCGACCTTGCGTCATCGCCCGCCATGCGCCGGGGAGTAGTTAGGCGTGGTTGGGTGTGGATGGCTGGCTATGGCTGGGAAAATGTGGGTGTGAGTGGGTGTGAGTGGGTGTGAGTGGGTGTGAGTGGGTGTGAGATGGTGTGGGTGGGTGGGGTAGGTCGTCGATGGGGAGTGGTTGGGTGTGTGGGCGTGGTTCGGCGAGAGTGGGCGTGTGTGGGCGTGGGTGGGTGTGGTTACTCGTGTGTGGGCGCGGTTGGGTGTGTGTGTGTTTATGCGTGGTTGGGTATGGTTGGGCGTGGGTTTGTTAAGTTTTGTATGGTTTATAGCTGTCCATGCGGTACCGTGTTAGCTCAGCAAGCGCCTGAAAGGAAGAGTCAGTGAGAGAGAGAGAGGGGATAGGGGACGAGATCGCGTGAGAGCGAGAGCGAGTATAGAAAACAAACGAGGAGGAGATTCGGAGACCGATCATTATTACCGAACACTGTTGTCGACAATTAATCGGAAACTGCTCGCTAGACCTCCCTCAATAATTACGCGTGCTAATTAACCCGACTTTTATTAATGAGCCGATCTGCTCGCCCGCCCGAATAACCGGAAACATACTCTCGTTTCTTGCAGCTGGAATGGTTGGTGAAGGAGATGCAGCATTCGGAGACGGGCATTCCTGTCAGGTCTCAGAAGGTGCTGCTTACGTCGGTGCCCTACGCCTTCACAGGTAGGCCACAACGACGTTCACTTGTTACATCGCCGCGCGGCTCCCGTCATGCATTGTGCCGCCGGTATTTCCGCGTGTTTCTGGCGTGCGTCGTTCCGTGTTATCTGCGTCACCTTTCTGTTTTTTTACGCGTTGCCCCAACGTATTTTCTGCGCTAGTCCACGTTTTTCATGCGTCACCACCCCGTAGTTTTAGCGTCACCACTACGTTTTTTCTGCGTCTTCATTTCCCCACGTCGTCAGCGTCGCCGTGCGTGCTGCCTGCGTCACCGTGCGTGCTGCCTGCGTCGCCGTGCGTGCTGCCTTGCGTGACAGTGGCGTACTTGCTTGCGTTCACGCTATGCGTGCTATAAGCCTAGCGTCTCCCGGTGCATGCGCCTTGCGTCAGCCGTGCGTGCTATAGCGCTGCGTTCAACCGTTGCGTGGCTGCCTGCTCACCGCGCGTTTCTATACCTTGCCGTCACCGGTGCATGCTGCTGCGTCACCGTCTGCAATATACGCTGCTCACCTGCAATGCTGCCTGCGTCCACCGTTGCGTGTCTATACCTGCGTCCGTGCCGTTGCGTGCTGCCTGCTGTGGCACCGTGCGTGCTCCTGCGTCACCGCGCGTGCTATATGCCTGTGTCACGCGTGCGTGCGCCGTGCGTCATCCGTGCGTGCTATATTCCTGCGGTCCCCGTGCGTGCTGCCTGTCGTCACCGGTGCTTCGCTGGCCTTGCGTCACCGTGCGTGCTATACTGCGCACCGTGGCGCTGCTGCCATGTGTTACCGCGGCGTGCTATATCCTGTGTCAGCGTCGCGCGTGGTCTATATCTGTGTCACCGCGCGCTGCCTATATGCCTGTGTCAGCCGTGGCGTGCTAACCATGTTTCCACCTGCGCGTGCTAACATTGTCCGCCGTGCGGCTATACCTGTGTTAGCTCGGCGCGTTGCTATACATTTCACCGTGCGTGCTATACCTGTGTTTACCTGTCGCGGTTGCTATACATTGTGTCCACGCGTTAGCGTGCTAATAGCCTTGTGTTATCCGGCCGTCGCATACATGTGTCACCGTGCAATGCTATACTGTGTCGACCGCGCGCTGCATATATTGTACCACGGTGCTGCGTATATCCGTGTCACCTGCCGCGTGCTTATACATGTGGTTCACCGTGCGTGTATACCGTGTTTACTGGCGTTGCTGTACTATGTGTCACCTGTGTCTATTGTTGCTATACCTGTGTCACCGCGCGTGCTATACATGTGTCACCGTGCGTGCTATACCTGTGTTACCGCGCGTGCTATACATGTGTCACCGTGCATGCTATACCTGTGTTACCGCGCGTGCTATACATGTGTCACCGTGCATGCTATACCTGTGTTACCGCTCGTGCTATACATGTGTCACCGTGCATGCTATACCTGTGTTACCGCGCGTGCTATACATGTGTCACCGTGCATGCTATACCTGTGTCACCGCGCGTGCTATACCTGTGTCACCGTGCATGCTGCCTGTGTTACCGCGCGTGCTATACTTGCGTTACCGTGCGTGCTGCCTGCGTCCTTTTGCGTGCTGCTACCCACGCGGCGACACAATAGGGCCGTTAATGTAACACACACACACACACACACACACACACACACACACACACACACACACACACAAACACACAAACGCACGCACGAACGCCAAAACGCACCCCCAACACGAACGCACGCACCGCAACACGCACGCACACACACACGCACGCACACAAGTGCGGCCCATGCTACCTGCAGCTATAAGCAGCACATATCCTCATCACGTGCAGCTGCGAAGGAATCAGCCACGCACGCACGCCGCGGCAGGATCGTTACGCCATGCCTACAGTCACGGCTCAACGCGGATACGATGTAAATAATTTATATTAACCTCTCGTTCTCGCCCGACCATGATCTTTAATTAAATCAGCTTCGAATGATTATGAATTATTTAATTTAAATTATTATGAATTATACTTAGCTGATTTAATTGAAGATAATGGTCGGGCGAGAAAGAGAGGTTGTTTATATATATTAGCGAGATATTAGATAGGAGAGAAAAAAGACGCTGGTAGAGCGATAAAGATGAGAAAGCCAGTTAAAAGAATGTATGTGCGCATGTGCGGGAATGGATGAGAAGGACACATGGAATGGAGGGAGAAGGGAGGGCGCTGGCAATAAGTGAGAGACGATAGAGACAGGAAAAGATAGGGAAGCATTTCTAGTAGGAGGAAGAACTGGAGAGGAAACATACAGATTGGCGAAAAGGAAGACGAGAAGAAAATCTGGGGGAATGGCAGCTGGACAGCTAGAGAAAGGGGTATAACAAGGGAAAGCTAGGAGAGGGATATATAGAGAGCAGAGGAGCATGGCAAAGGCAATGCCGGTATTGAAGGCGATAAGGACGAGATATAGGAAGACGCTAATTGAGAGGAGGAGAAGGAGGCAGGAAGGAGAGGAAGGAAGAGGAAGGAGGAGGAAGCGGAGACAAAGAGGAAGAAGAAGAAGAAGAAGAAGAAGAAAAAGAAAAAACAACAACAAGAAGAGATGATGAGGAGGAGGAGGAGGAGTAGGAGGAGGAGAAAGAAGAAGACGAAGAAGAAGAAGAAAAAGAAAAGAAAGAAAGCTACGTACAGTGAGAGTTAGGGAAGAAGAGGGGGTGAGGCAAATAGTTAAAAGAAGTGGAAGGAAAGCGGCAACTATGAAGAGACGGAAGGCTAGAGTAAACATGTAGAGCGCAGGCAGTGGTGTATCGTGTGTATGTGGGGCAGGCTTGTAGGCATCTGTGGTGGGTGCCTGTAGTACAGTTTCAGCTAGAGATGCAGCAATGACGTGAATCACGGTCACTCTCACCTAACGACTACAGGTCGATACGTTAGCACTAGGTCAATATGTAGCAGTTAGCACACGCACACACATAATTATACACACGCACGCACACACACACGCACACACACACACACACACACACACACACACACACACACACACACACACAC